GGCCGCCAGCCACCCCAGGCGGGGGCCTGCGCGCCGTGCTCACCATGTGTAGCGCGCGGGAAATCTCTCCTCATTCATTTTGCTCGTTTTTCCCAATCTTTACTTCATCCTCCCCTCCAATTCTATTATTTTTTTGTAATTATTTCTCGAACCTGTTTCCCACCTCGCTCTACCATCCGCTTTGGCGCGTCGCGTGGGAAATGCGCAGCGTCCAATGGCGAGTTAAGGCGCCAGGTCGAATGCTTGCGCGCTCGGGGTTTTGTCTCGGCGGGCTCCATCGCCCGATTTCACCGGCGTTCCGGATGTCGCCTGTGGGAAGAGCAACATGTGGCGGGAGTGCGGGAGGTGGGGTTGGAGGGGAGAATTTAGAAGTACAGCCGAGCACCGCGCGAGACACTTGGGAGCCGCTCAGTGCCCCCGCGCCGCCCAGCCCCTCACTGATTGGAAGTGGCTGAAGTGGATTGCATTTCATTTGGCTATCATACACACGTGGATGCTTTGCCTTAATCTGCTGATGAGATTTTTGTAAATCAATTATTAATGTGTTCATCTGTTGGGAGAACGGCTTTTATACAAAAAGAGGGAATAAAAGGGTAAATATTGCCAAAACCCAATTTTTACCACTCACATTTTTGTCACATTTTTTTATTACCAAAAATTCTGAAAGCTTATTAAATCGAAATTAAAAAATAATGCCTCTTATTTTGATCTACTGTGCTATGATTTGAAATTTGTGGGTAATTGTGGAAACAGGTTAAGATTAGTGTAACTTCTAAAGCATACTTTGTATTTAGTGGGGACAGAAAGCTTTATCTCCTATAAATGAGAAAAGTGTATTTGTTCTCGTTCTGAAAAACAAATTCCCTCTACCTCAACCGCGGATTGCTGTGATGAATGAAATACGAAAATATAACAAATACGATGTGCATGAATGGAAGGAAATTTAGAATTTGTAATATTCGGGAGGACGATTCTCAAAATGGTAATACGAGTGAAGTGGTCTCAACCTCAAAGCATTGCCCCCGTGCATTCCATGAAAATAATCATACCCAAGTTCTTCTCTCATACCTTTTATTTCTTCTTTATATGCACACGTACAAAAAACGAAACACATAGCTCATGCATCATTTCATTTAGTTCCTTACGAATAAGTACAAAGCATGTTGTGTCCTCTCTAACTACAATGGAAATTACCATTCTGATGGATTAATTACAAGTCATTGCAGAGACAATACTTATAATAATGCACTACAACTAGAAAAATTGAATGCCCAAATAATTTACATGAAACAACTGAACTGACTCAAACTACTGAAATAACAGTTGTTACGAAAACTCCCGAAACCAATCTACTCTTTTCCGTGTCAAATTGTATCTGCCGAATATTTGGTTACGAGCCTAACTTCCTCGAGGTCTAGTGCAATTTGTCCCTTTTGCTTCCTCCCCGCTCCTCCGCTCCCCGCCCCGTCCGGGGCCGCCCAGCCGGGTCGCTCAGGTTGATTACGCTTTCAGCGCGGGTGTTTCTCATCCGCTCCAGCCAAATGCTGGGCGGAGCCCCGCCCAGCCCTCTTCCTATCCTTACACGAGATGCTCATAACACAATAGAGCGCGTGCGACACCGCCGACGGGTCGGAATGCGCGGGCGTGGGTGCGTGCGCAGCCCCGACCCACAAATCCCGCGCCGGAGCGGCCCCGCCCTCTGCTGGGCGCTGCTCAAGGGCTCCTTTCGAAAGCCACGTGACCCACCGTCTCAAAATTTACGACACATATTAAATGTTCTGAAATTAGTGTTACAGGACCATATTTTAATGCACGTGGTAATAAATCTGATTAATTGTTACTGTAATATGAAAGAAATACATATTTTTAAGGAGAATATATAAGAGCTTCATGATCTACGATTAAATATTATAAATATACGAATTATGCATTCAAGTATTTTATATCTACATATACGTAAATACTAAAAATCATAAAAACAAACTGAAGTTAATTTCTTATCTGAAAGTAGAGTTATGAGACAAAACGATATCTGAGTTGAGGTTTGGGTTACACACAATGAATCTGACACTGCTACCACTAATTTCAAAACAGGCGTAATTCAGAAAACACTTTTCAGCAGTAAATGCATAATTTAGTTGCTATTCAACGTCTCTACTTAAAATGTTTGGTCTCCGTTATATTTTCTTCGAATCATTCATATCTAATTTTTTTGTAATTTCACATCCATTGTAGTATCCTAGAATAATGTCTCTCCGCGACGCAAATATTACTTCCGTTTTATAAACCAATTTCAGTTTAATTCATGTAACATCTTCAAATTAGTAGAATGTTTCATTTGCTAAAGATGAATCTGTTCCAGTGAGAAGAGTCCGGTCTTTCTACACCTCATCTCTTTTCCGGAGGATCCTTCCCCAGATGACAGCGGTCCAAAAAGTTCAATCTAGAAATATTAATTACCCCTTTTAACGCCTCGTCCTTATCCTTGGAAACAACAGCGCCACCTAGCGGCCTCCGCTCGGAAGACGAGCTGCCCGCTTCCGGGCGCCGGCCGCTGCTGCCGCGCTTGGGGCGGTCCCTTCCAGGGCGGCGACGGCGTTCACTGCTCAATGAGGTTCTCCACAGATTCCCACGAAACTGTGTGTGGCCGGTCGTGGAATCTTGTAACATGCCTGGCTGAGAAAATTGTGTCGCTATGAATTAGTATCTTGCTGTTCACTGTAGTGAGTGAATCGGCTGATCGGGACCATTAAAAATTACGCTTCCTAAATCTTACACCAGTCTTTCGTTTCATTTGCATTAATTGTTCTTTCATTTTGCGTATATAATCAGTTTTTGTTTTTTAAATGTGAACAATAAAATAGATGGTGTTGAAATCACATTTTGAGTTGTCATACCTTTTGTTCGTTTTGAAATGAATTGACACATTACGTCACAGCAACACGACACATACATATGTATGTTTACAATGATTCAAGCGCTAGTTGATAGTAGTAAATGAAAACAAGTACTTAGCGTTCCTGTATCTCATACGCCACCAAGACGCTCTCGTTGTGGAATGCCAGCAGGACACTGCCCCCCAAAAATCTCATTCAGTCGTGAACACTGTACGAGCCACGGCTCCCCCCCCCCCTCCGGGCGGGGCCCTCAAATTCGACGCCTGTTTCAGGTGACGGACAGCAACGATAACCCGCCGGTGTTCTCGGAGGCGGCGTACTCCTTCGACGTGCCCGAGAACGCGGCGCGCGGCGCCCGGGTGGGGCAGGTGGTGGCGCGCGATGACGACCAGGGCGTCAACGGCCAGGTCACGTACAGCGTGGTGTCCGACTGGGCCAACGACGTCTTCTCGCTGCACCCGCAGTCCGGCGTCTTCACGCTGACGGCGCGGCTCGACTACGAGGAGGTGAGCCACGAACCGGCGGACTGCAAGACGCCTCGGCATCTGACGCCACAGGACGGTCGAGAGCGGTGTGGCGTATGGGGGACGAGTGCAGTCTGTGCGCTGCCTTGATGCGCATGTTTGAGGCGTCTTGCGAATTCCGAGTTCCGTGGGAATTGGGATGAAGTCAAATTTAAGATAATTATTAGAAAGTTAAGAAAAGATCATTGATCGGAAACACTTTTTCTTGTCTAAGACACATTATATTCTCTAGATATCAGAGCGCTTTCATCTAACAGAGAGGACATACTAATTGTAAGGAAACAAAACCTAAATTTTAAATTTTAAAACGTATGTGAGGGGAAAATTCCTATCAATATTTTACCCCAATATTTCTATAACTTTATAAATCATCAAAACATGAAGCTGTTCCATCGTCACTGATTTTAAAAAAGAAAATAGATATAGGCAGTTTTTTGCAACATGGTCTATACGTACTGCTGCGAGTCATAATTTGGCAAGCGACGGCGACAATTTGACGATGACACGGTGGTTTTGTCATGGTGCCTCAGATGGCACGGCGTGATTCGTTATGGCTAACATGCTCGCTTACCATGAGCATGAGGTGGAAGATTGCCGGCATTATTCCTTATGTGGACAAAAGAAATTGATAACTCCCGCAAAAATGTCTCAGACTTGCTTGGTCAATGGGAAAGCAACTGGGGAAATGGAAGGTGCCGAGTTATGGCATTTGTGAAAAGTGTTTCTCGTTAGTGCTTCAGCACTTTCTAGTTGTGTCAGGAAAGCCACAGCAAATTATTATAATGATGTTCGTGTTTGTACATCATTTATTGTTGTTATAATGTTTTAAATGTTGGTACATTTGTTCTTGAGCCCCAGAATTCCTATCTCTACTCCTTTACTATCATTAGTTGAATTAAGAATAAATGACAGCAACGAGCTTATTGACAAAATTTGAAAATCAGAAATGTTTGCTCCCAAGTAGTAGAAACTATTTTGCATCGCAGAACAAGCAACAGATTCAATATAATAGTTCTGTTGACAAAATAACCAATCCTCCCGTTCCTCGCGCAAATAGAGAAATGAGGGCTCAAGAAAACGTGCGCGGATAATACCTTACTTCCTCCAAAGTGCTTAGTACTCCTCATTGAGCTCCTCTCGATTGTGCACCGAGAAACGAGTCACTCCAGAGGTAGACTTTTCGACTATCTGTACAGAGGTACTGATCGCCCGGTTTACATATGTAACATATGTATGAAAGGAGACATCTCGAGTAAGTCCGATTACAGTTTGAGAATTGTATTAGATTGCCATGACTTCGCTTCTGCAGCTCAATGCAACGTCGGGTCATCGAGTTGAAAAGCTGTTTCGTTGAACGGGGAAGTAAATAACAAGAAAGACAGTATATTTATTAAACTGTTCATCACAACTCTTATGAATAGAAGAAAACACGAGGAAAAGTGAAATCCAGAGAAATATATTTTTCAACCACTGTAATTATAAAGAAGTCATTTTTCGCTGTTTCTAGAATTGAGGTCCGAGAACTCAGTGCATTTTATTTTCTCAACGTAACATATCATACATTTAAAAATTGTATCCTCATACAAGAACTGAAAATCTCAAAAATTAAAATAGGTGAATATATTTTTTAATACTTTAATTAAACGTTTGTTCGAGGATTTTCCTAGTTTTCGATTTTTGTTCGAGAATTTTCTACACGAAGTTTGGAAGGTTTACTCATGTTACGAGGGGTAATATTTCAAAACCGTTGATTTAGTCAGTAAACACACAACCTAAGATGATTTCAAATCTCGAATAAAATTATATGAAAAACGGGATTAATCGCTTTTCAAGAGAAGAGAAAAGTCTTTGATTTATTAATGTTTCAAGTTAACATTAAAAAAATAATAAAAAATATGTATATAAAAAAATTCAAAACGACATGAAATTAAGTAGAGGTCCATTTTTTTACAAGAGGAGTTAAGCATTCAGAATTAGAATTATAAATATTTAGCTTCAAATCTCTTATTTTTTAATATATCAAGATTAAAATTCTTAAAATATATTTATGCTTGTATATCTACTTGTCTGCAACTTTCATGCGAAGAAACACTACTATGCATTCATCAGTGAACAATATTGTTTAAGAATACATTACACAACAATGAAATTATCTTTGTTCTTGAAAATCAGTGAATAATATTGTATACTTTTGAATATATGCTACCGCATAGACCTATAAATAAATCAACTGCAGTATAAATTATTAGTGTTTGCATCCTAAGTTTTTGTGACAAATAAGACAAATATATTTTGATGATGTTTTACAAAATAAGAAATTTCAGTGTAAAATACTAAATTTTCAGAAAAAGAAATGCACTAATTTGAAACACCTATATTTCTTTGCCTACTAAGTCAAATGCCTCATATATATTTACATCATGAAACATTTTCTTGAAACTGTATTTACAATATTCTCAATTACATAGGTAAACTTGATTAATGTAATGCTGGAACTATTCAATAATTTTCAGAGTTAACTACCCTGTTGGACCTAAGAAAGATGTCCTGAATTATTCTGATATTATAAATATGAGAACTTCTTTTATAGCAAGGTTTTTGTATTGAGAATACTTCCTACAGAAATGAAAAAAATAATTTACTTAAACAAAAGAAATACACCACATATGAGGGGGAAAACACACTTAATATAATCATTAAGGACAAGTTAAATACTGTCAAAGCCTTAAAGGACTTGTGTATATTTGTATGTCATTATATTTGTACAGTGTCAATGCATTTCTGTGGAACTCACTTAGCTAGGTACTGAAATATTCACATGAGTGATCTAATAATTTATTGGCTTTGTCCAATATGCAATCCAGGTTTAATTTTGGTATTGCTTTAATCACTTCTGTTGTTTTTCTGTCTGAAAATGTATTGATGCTTCAGCAAAAACATTTTAATTTTTCTGAAGTGCTTATATCTTTTATTACTGCACATCTTACGCACAAGGGATGTCAACAGAGATAAACATATGTAAAATTTAACATAAATTGGTTTTTTTTATTCATTTGCCTTAAAGAATTTCCTCGTTATTCACAGACATCAAAATGCACATGTTTGTGTGAGTTATGTGGATACGTGTCATAAAACAATAATTTATTATTTTATTCATCCTCAACATATCTTGATCAATAAAATCAAAACATTTTCAGCATAATACATAGTATTAAAAATATTATGGTAAATATACTGTTACTCTTTGAACATAAAAAATATATAAAAAAGTTTTATTTTTAATTAATTTCA